ATCATCAATTGTGTATTGAAATTTTTAATAAACAATAACATAATTAAAAAATGTGAAGTAGAAAATAAAATATAAACAAGAAAAGATATTTGTTTTAAAGTTGAAAGATCTTGCTATAATGATTTTTCGGTTAAAGTCTCCCAAAAAATTATTTAGGGTGCATGCATACTGCTATGATGTATATAATTTGTGGGTGAACTTTGTTAATTTTAAAAATTTCGAGTTCAAAATGTCAATTAGTTTCAGTTTTGATGTGGAAAACGCAATTCACTCGACTATAAGGAAGAAATGCATGAAATATATACTGAGTTCCAATAAAATAAATGCCAAAACCATAACTAAGAAGCGAGTAAATGTCATTCAAAATTTTGATAACACAATGATGAGTAAAAATTGTAATAATTGAACGAAAAGATAAGGAAATAACAGGGTCATAAATATACATAGGCAAAACCGTATGAAATTATTTATTATTTTACTATTAATTAATAAATAATTTTGAATTATATTCTATTCCAAATAATTATCAATGTCACAAAATATTACTCTGATAACAATATAACTATCGTATATAGATTATGGTAGATAGAAAAAAAAAATTAATACGACGCGTGCAACGCACGCGCACCTTTCTAGTTATATAAAAGGACCTATAACAAGTTGCTCCATATAGTTTATAGAATGATGTCAATGTAATCTACTTAGCTCGAAACAAATTTCTATTTAGTATTGTTCTATTGTAAATTACGAAAATCTCATTCAACACGTAAAATTACAAAATAGTACTCTTGCATTCATCAACCCGTTGAACTCGTCAAACCCGTTAAAAACCGCTCCGCTAGGACCGGACGGGTAGATCCATCTATAGGATTGGGTCCTGAAATAGAAAAGATTTGCGGGTCTGGGTCTAAGACGGGTTCAAAAAAATTTAATACCCATGAAACCCGTCCCGCCCCGCTATAGAAAACAACGTCGTTTTGTTTATATTATGTAGTATAATAAATTAATAATGTATAATACATGAATAAAGTATCTCTTACATGTCATAATTTATATCTATAACGGCGACATCGTCTCGTTTTGTCTATGGTTATCTATGTTATTTTAAATCTTGTCTTATGAAGGTTTGAATTTAGTTTCTCATTTTTGGATTGATGGTTAAAACGTATTAATTTTGATTTACTCATGACATTTATCATTAATGTTATTCACGTTTGTTTCAATTTAAAATTTTACGCTTGGTCATTCATTTTTTTATCTAAATAATTTCGCGTAAAACTTGTAAATTATTAAAGAATTTTTTTTTTAAATTACGACGGGTTTCGACCCGTGAAAGTTGGGTTCTACTTTAATCCCGCAATAGACCCGTCTATCCTAAAACCCGTCGAAAACCCACAAGTTTGATTCCTTAAAATCAAGAACCGTTTGTTGATGGAACGAAGGCGGGTTTTGCTAGAACCCGCAGGTTTACGACCCGCGCACACCCCTAATTAGAGTTATTAAGACAAAAATGTGTGAGCTTAGGTCTATAATGTGCTTAAATTAAGTAAACGTAAAAATAAAAATAAACCAAAAAAACCTCTGGAATATGGTCAAATTATAAGAAAACTCACGTGTTTATAATTACTAAAACAAATCCTAGGATTTGTTTCCATCTAACAATGCCCTTATGAGGTTAAGTTTGGGTCTACCCTTATTATTTGTAAGATTAAGGGGGTTATATCTAATAGACCCAAAAAAGGGTTTATTAGGGATAACCCCCTTGTTCATATTTTCTAATGAGGTAGATCCAATTATTTTTTCCCTTTTTGATATACACCCAAATATGCCAACTTGACACAATATATTATTTAATTTCCCTTTAATACCCCTGCTTTATTTTTTAACGGCATTTATTTCCTTAACTACGTGATATGAGATTACTGATACGTTGCCTAAAATCACGGAATAAAATTACGTGAGTATATTGGCGGTTTCGTTATTATCACAACGTGTACAATCGGTTTTGAAGAATTTCTCCATCGATTCATCGTTTCCATCGGCTTTGACGAAGTTTTCACCGGCGTGGAGGTAGGTTCGGATCTGAGCGTTCATCGTTGTCCGTCGTTAAGCGGGTATGAACTTTTTTGTTTCGTTTTTATTTTCGCTGTATTTGTGCGGGGGTTGTTGTGTTATGGTGGGTAGACATTTTAAGATTTGTGTTGATACGTTGATTATATTGGTAGTAAAGTAGATCGTTTCTTAAAAAAATTACGTCGTCACATATACATCCTTATTTTGTCTGATGATGTTTGTTTGGAAGAGGATTCACATAGTTGCCAGAGGATGGTTCACGCAGTCGGACCTGAGTTGTTTTATATGAGTGTCGTAGTTGGTTTACGCAGTAATCGAAATAAATATTTGGTGTGGTCGAGTTGATGAAGTTGAAACTAACTAATAGTTGTTTTGTTTGTTTACAGCAGTAGATTTTAATGTATTCGGTAGTACATTGGAATGTATTTGGTAGTCTATTTAATCAATTATTTGTATTCTGCATTTTTTAAGTTCATACGATGCTGAAGTTGTTATTTCTGATGATGATGGAACAGGGGGTGGGGGTGAACTAGTTGGAGCTGTTGATGCCACTGGAAGTGAGACATTGAATGCAGGCTTTGTGCAGTTGTTCGAAGAAGAAGGCAGTTGTTCGAAGAAGAAGTCGACTGCATTCCTGATGATAGCGACGAGGACATAAACTCAATGAATTCAAATGATTCTGATGGTTGTTATTTTCCAAACCACCCTAAGATTTGATATGTTTAATTAATGTCGTGTTTACGATGTAATGGTTCGGTAACTTTGGTTAAGTGTTCAACCGTTGTAATACAGTAGTATACTATTATGAATACCGTATGATACTACCATTATCATTTTATTATACTATTTATGAGATTATTAATGTACTAGAGTTTTTTTAACTCGACATTTTGGTTTGATTGTGTTATGATGTGTTTTAAGTATTTTATCAAAACCCTAGATTGAAATTATGAGATTATTAATGTACTATTTTATTGGTTATGTTGGAATTACTTTACGTTGGTTTTGTTCTCAATGTTCTTGTCATTTCAGTGGTATATTGTTTGTAACACAATTTCATATCACTACTATAACCGTAATATACTATCATAGCAGATTAATGTACTATATGAAATTATTAATATACTATGTGGTTGAAGAATACGGGATCCATAGTCAATTAACGAGATCCATAGTCGAATTAGATCAATGAGATAGTCTATTACATGATATGGGATAGTCTAACAATATTAAAACACAAATCTGCCGCCATCACTTATCAGATCTAGGATTTTGTTGATTCTTCGGCCCAATAGTCAAATAACTAAACCCATAGTCGAATTAGATATATGTGATAGTCTATTAAATGATATGAGATAGTCTATTAAATTTTAAACACAAATCTGCCGCCGTCACTTCTCAAATCTAGGGTTTTGATGATTCTTCGGCCCATAGTCGATTAACGAGATCCATAGTCAAATTATATCAGTGGGATAGTCTATTAAATGATATGAGATAGTCTATTAATACATATGTAATTCGACTATGCATCTCGTTAATCAACTATGGGCCGAAGAATTATCAAAATCCTAGATTTGAGTAATCCTAGATTTGAGTAACCCTAATTTGGAGCAGTGACGGCGGCGGCGGCCAACGACGATATCACTCCTAAATTGATTGATACGACCTTGGAGGCGGGAGCGGCGGAGGTCTTGGTCGTTTTTGGCGGTCATGGAGGTGGAGGTGGTCGGATGTGGTGGTGGTGGAGGACTAGGCGGTGGTGGAGGTGTTGCTTATGGCCAATATCGTTGTTATCGTCGTTGGCCACCGGTGACAACGGTGACGGAGGTCGCGGCGGTCGGAGGGAAGCGGCGAACCCGGCGGGAAAATAGGGAGGGATTTCGGAGTGGAGAAAATCGTCAATCGCCGGTGTATAAATTTCTGGTTTTCTTTGGGACGTTTGCAGATTTTGGTAGTGGGTTTGTGGGGATAGAGTTTTAACGGGAAAATAGGGAGGGATTTGATATTATTTCAAAAGGTAAAGTAACGGGATTTGTGGGATTTGATTGAGGGTACTGATGTAATTTAGAAAAATATGGGTTTTTACCAAAATGACAAATTTAAGTTTGGGTCTACCTCTATTATTTGTAAGACTAAGGGGGTTATATTTAATAGACCCAAAAAAAAAGGATTCTATTTGAAAGTTTGAAGAATCCGACTAGTCCTTCATTTCACGTCGGTCGATGGTCGGTAGGGATAAACGGTCAATTTTCAGCAACCATTGATGCATTATTATGCATTTTATATTACAAGAGAATCATTAAATAAAAAAAAATTGAATTTCGTTGGTTCCAATTACAATTTTTTTGGGGATAAATTTTTTCATTCCTATTATTGAAGTCTCGTAATCTGATTTGTTTAGAATTTTTTGTAACGAAATATGAATTTGTTATCGGGTTCTGAAAATATTGATATTTTCTGAAACCGTTATTTTTCCCCTAATTTTAACCTAGAGATTCAAGAAGAGTTACTAGGGAAAGCCATAACGACAATTAAAACGGAACGGAAGGAGTAGCAATTACTAGCATATATAACAAGCTTGTGAATTGAAAACATAAGTTTTTTTTTTCCTCAATCCTGGAATACCTTAGAGTATGTATAGTCGATGGCGAGAAAGGACAAACTGTGCAAGCACGAGTAATTCAATTCATATGCCAGTACAGCATAACAAAGTAACAAAAGCGAGCATTAACTAGGTCACGGTGCAAAAACAAAAAAACAAACGAAAAAAGATATTTGCACTAAGCATTCTTCTGCAGTTCTTTTACCGTCTTGTGCAGTTCCTCCACCGTTTTCTGCAGCTCCGACATCAAATGAGTCATCTCCTTATACCTTTCTTCATCGTTTTCAGCACGAGCCTGCAAATCCGACACCCGAATCTCAAGTGAAGCATTCTTCGATTTAAGCTCCTCGATCTTTGATTCCTTCAAGGATATATCTTGTTGCAACTTGGTAACAACTTCATGCATATGCATCTAATAACAAAATAAACAAAATACAAGTTGTCAAAAAAAATAATAATTAAATTAAATAAAAAATAAAAGATTATGAAATACAAGGGCTAATCTGGTATAAAAGCTGTTTGTCGAACTTGAGATTGATTTGAAACCATTGTAGTTGGTAGTTGCTGAACGTGATTTCGCATTTGGGTTTGAGATGCTGTGAAACAATGCATGTGAAGAAGACACACACGTATAGGCCAATCAGTCAGCAAATGAATGTGAAATATAAAGAGCGAACGAAACAAATCACATTCATATATGCGAGGTAGATCATCAAAATCTCACATGTTTTCGAATGTCAATGTTGCATTGATTTCTTTTTTTTTCCTTCCATATTTGCCCTTATGACTCTCCTAAATTCTATTAAACATTGTTCTCTTACATGAAGAGAGTAATTAATAAGTTGGAAGGGGTACTTTTGTCCTATAACATACTTGTTTCTAAAAGCAAAGGAAGTAGAAACATTTTGTAATTTTAAAATAGCGGGCTCAGAATTTTCCTTACCTGGTTCTTGGGGTTTTTTGCTATTTATTGGAGCATTAGACGACTGACGAGAATTTGCCGTAGAATTCATGGGTTTTATCTCCATTGTCAGCATTTTCAAACTTATCTTCCTCAAGTAATCTGACTGTGCGAGTATGTCGTGGAAGAAAACGGTCAGAAGTAACAACACGGATAAGTTTTAGCAAACCAATTCGAAAAAAATGAGTATACAGTTAAACCTCTATAAATTAATACCGTCGGGCTAGCAAAATTCTATTAATTGAGCGAAATATTAAATTATCGAACCAATAATTTAGTAGTTTTTTACCGAGTCGGGACCAGAAGAAACTATTATTTAATCGAGGTTATTAATTTATCGAGGTTCTACTGTACCTGACTTGTTGCTTCTGTATAAACCCTTTCCTCGAACCTGACAGCGATTTTTTTAAGTTGCTGCAGTCCCTCTTGTCCAGAGAAAGGAAGATGCCTCTTCAAAGTCTCCGTTCTAAGTGTTAAAGAATCATAGTATTATGACAACATCCGCACAAAACACCAGATTCTAGACAACAAAATAAAATAAAATTAAAAAATCTAACTGGTCTTTGGGACAAACAAAGTTACACTGCAAACTTAAAGTAGGAAAATTTTACAAGACGATTCTCTAGTCAATAGCAAACACTTGACATTAAGATAAACAACCTTTCTTTATTTCATAATCATAAGTATCTTTTCGTTGCAACGAAAAGCATAACAAACCTGAGATATATTGATTGCTCGTAACGGGACCATATGCATACTTCAAATGAAAGGTCAAGATTTACATAACTTGTAGAAACAGAAAGCTTCATAGATTATTTCCCATACGTTTCAATCTATATTTTATAAAAATAAAATTCAAGAGCACGTTGTTGTAATATAAGTATGGCCATAAAAAGAACAAGCAAAATGTGAATACTTCTGAATTGAGGACAGTAAGCAGAATAAGAATTAGGGTAAATAGCATTAAACCACCTAAACTTTTTGAGTTTTTGCGGATCACCACCTGAACAATTTTTTTTTGCACAACTTCACCTATACTCAATTAATTGTGCCACTTTACCCATTTTTGCCGGTTTGCAGGTCAAAATGACCTGTTCTCAACCCATGTGCATCGCACATGACAAATCCAAGGATATTGACGTCTTTTCCATTTTTAAAATTGAATAAATGTTAAATAGAATAAATAAAAAATAAAAAAACAAAAGAAAAAAAAGAAAAAAAAACAACAAAGGTCTTCGTCTTGATCACCAGCCTTGTTCACCAGCAGAAGATCCACCATAGCTACTATTGCTGCAATTTTATTTCCCCCAATCACCACCATCATCAGACCAACAACAACAAAAACGCCGCCATTTATCCGTCAGTAATCAGCCCTAATTTCACATAGCTCCTCCTCATAAACTCATCAAGGCCAACGGCGTTGGCGGCGGCATATCATATTCAACCACCCCACCCTACTCATCTAACTCACAACTTTCATCAACCATTTCTCTCATATTGCAGCCGCTCACCACCAGGAACCAGCTCTGCCCTCTTGCACAACCACGAAGCTCACCACCACCACCACATCTTCTTCAGATCCGCCGCCATCTTGATTGAAATTGGACCTAAATTTAGGTCTAAAATGTTCATTTAATTTCCCCCTTTCCCCGATTGAGGTTATATGAACACTATTTTCTCTCGATTTCTTCCTCCGAATCGACTAGATCTTCTTCCAACGAATGGAGGATTAGATGAGATTCTCACAATTGAGGCCGCCCCATGCCGCGGCGGAGGTGTGCGGCGCTCGGCCGTGAGATCGGGTGTGCGCAGGTGGGCGGTGGGTGGTGAGATTGGTGCGACGGCAGTGGTAATCCTTGAAATTGCAGAGGCGAGAAAGTGTTTATATCGGTGGTGGTTTGTTCGGAGTTTTCGGGCCATGGGTTCAAAATCCAGGCTGAGTTGCTGGGAACAAGATGACGTTTTACTTTTTCTTTTTCTTTTTTTAATTATTCTATTTAAGAAAATTCCATTTCAAAAAAATAAATAAATAAATAAATTAATTAATTAAAATTAACATTTATTCAATTTTAAAAATGGAAAAGACGTCAATAGCCTTGGATTTGTCATGTGCGACGCACATGGGTTGAGAACCGGTCATTTTGACCTGCAAACCGGCAAAAAAGGGTAAAGTGGCACAATTAATTAAGTATAGGTGAAGTTGTGCAAAAAAAAATTGTTCAGGTGGTGATCCGCAAAAACTCAAAAAGTTTAGGTGGTTTAATGCTATTTACCCTAAGAATTATAGGACTCGTTTTCTAATTAAAAACAACCAAGAAGTGCGTCTAGTGTCATTACTTTGTGAACACTTCTATAATTCTCTGCTTCGTTCCGCTAAATAAGAAGTTCGGTGCTTAAGTGCAAAAGAATTTAGTGTTTCCTAACAACCAATACAATAGATAAGACCAACATTATTCTACACGACATAACTACATTAACATATGCAAACAAGCAAATCAAGATCATGCTACAGAATCTTCTCTTTTCTCTCAAGCTTGAAATACTTCAAAGACGCAAAACGAATAACTAGAAAAATATAATTATTTGAAACTTATTTTTTTTAAATATATATTCAGGTATTCTTCACATTTTCAAGGACATTTTCAAACTCCTAACACTAACAAAATTAATTAGTGTACCTAATTTCTTCAGGCTAAAGTAGCAAAATCGAATTGCGGAATAACAATTCCCTCAAACTGATGATACTATAACTATAATATCAGTTCTTTGGCAGATTCAGAAATAAGTTCGTGCTTCGATTTTATAATTAGTAGAAAACAATTCAACATGAACAGAATAAAAATTAAAAGCTCAAAACTAGCACGTGTTGTAATAAGTAAAATTAAAAAAAAAAATTGAAAAAAAAGTAACGGGAGAAATCAAGGAATTTACATCTTGTTTACAATCTTTTGTCTAGAACCTGCTTGTAGATGATTCTTCCAATCACTGGCTTCCGTGCCCGCAGCCGCCGCCGCCACGCCGCCCATAACCTGGCCTGGAATCTGAGCCTGTCCTTGGGCAGCACGCCGCCGATTATCGCCATCCATTTTTACTTGATTAAAAGAATCTGTAAATATCAAACAACTCAATAATCACGCCGTAGAATCAAAAGAAATTAAAAAAAAAAAAAAAAAAAAAAAAAAAAAAAAAAAAGTAAGTAGATTTTGATTTGGGGGAATGGAGATCGCCGATGAAATTAGGGTGAAATGTGTCTTCTTACGCCTTTCTGATACGGTAAAGAAATTAATCCGTTGATTAGAGAGTGGGGAGAGAGGATATCTTCGCAACTGAAAAACGAATTAAGAATATATAATAACAAATAGAGCAAATTTGCATGTCACCCCCTATAAATTTTACTTTTCACATTTTAACCCCTCAAAATGTAAAATAAATGAATGCCCCCTTCAAAATGTTATACTTGTTGTACATTGCCCCGATAGCAAAATTTCGCTGGATTATTAACCGGAATTTAGTGTTTTTTTTGCACGTTTCTCCTTTAAATGTTATTTTTGTTGCACATTGGCCCTTAAAAATATTATTTTTCTTCCTCAAAAAAAATAACATTATTTTTCTACATATTGCTCCTTATAAATGTTATGCTTGTTGCACAATGCCCATCGAAATTAGCTTTTGGGCCAAAGTACAATCAAAACAATGTTTCAAGGGGATTTATCTATTTTATGAATTTTTAGAGGGTGAAAAGTTGCGGAAATAAAAAATTTATAGGGAGTGAATTGCATTTTCTCTTAATAAAGAAATATGTTCTAGCCTGATCTATAGAACATATTTAAATTTGTATTTTGACCATGACACAATAACTTATAGGGTAAATGGCACATGACCATCTATAAATTTTTAATTTATGCACTTAACCTCCACAGTTTTTTTAAAATTGAACGTCCCCTTAAAAATGTTAATCGTGTTGCACATTATCCCGATTGCAAAACTCCGATGGATTATATTCATTAGAATTTAGAATTGAGTATTTTTGTTGCACATTGTCCCTTTAAATGTTATTATTGTTACATAATTTTCCTTAAAAACACTATTTATTTGCATGTTAGCCCCTTTAAAATGTTATTTTATTTGCACAATACCCTGTAGAAATTGACTTCTGGGCAAAGTACAACTAAAATAATATTTCGAAGACAGAATACTTTTTTTTCTAAATTTTAGAAAGGAAAGTACGAAAATGGAAAGTTTATCGAAGGTAAAGTACATTTTGTCCTAACTTATAATTCCTAAAAGGATATTCAGTTTTTTTTCTTTTCATAAGTTGACCCAATTTTAAAGCTGACGTTGACTTTTGCTTAGAAGATTTTGTTTAAAGTTTTTATTTTCTTCACTTATTTTTGTACAAGTCTTTTTTAGGACACTGTTGCAGTATTAACCGATCAAACTGGCGACATTATTGTTTTAAAAGTTTTTTTTTTCCTTTGCGGCTATTGTGAGTAGGGGTGTGAACGAGCTGAGCTCGAGCCGAGCTTGCCTCTTTTGGCTGGCTCGAGCTCGAGCTCGAGCTCGAACTCGAGCTCGTCGAGTTCTTCTTTCTTTGGCTCGAGCTCGAGCTCGAGCCCAATCTCTCTTTTTTTCTATTTTTTTTAAATATTTTTTAATTATTATTTTAATATGAAAATTATTTTAAAAAAATACAAAATAAAAACTAAATTGTGATTATATATATTTTTAATATTTGTATTTATTTCTATAATATTTTATATTATTATACATTATTTAAATAAAAATAACATATAAAAAATAAAAAATAAATAAAAAAAATAAAAAAATAATAATAAATAAGGCTCGCGAGGTGATGAACAACTAAAATCCGGCTCGAGCTCGGCTCGTCAGAAAGCTCGAGCTCGCGAGCTCGAGCTTGAAAACCTCGAGTCCGAGTTCGAGCTTTTTACGAGCCGGCTCGTCGAGCTCACGAGTCGGCTCGGCTCGTTTACCACCCCTAATTGTGAGGACTAGATACTAACTAGTGTACCATAAAAACACGAAATTCCTCGCCCACAGAGTCTCATCCCTGGGTCGGATAAGTATTTGATAGACGAGTGTAAATTATGGTCATCCTCATTAGAGTTGACATTTCCACACTGTGACTGCCAAGATTCGACTTTAGGACACTGTACCAATTTACTACCATTGGAACCAGTTGAACTACACCCAAGCAGGCATAATAAACCATTTTCCTGAATTGAAAAGGGAGGGGGCCTGTTATGCATCAATTAAAGAGAGACGTAAGCAAAAAACTATAAAGTTGAAATTTGACGATGGCTCTTTTAGGTATGAAGGAGAGATGGTAGTATTGGAAATATTAATATTAAATGATATATTTCACCAATAGCTTAAGCTTTTGGTTGAGATGATCATTCAACATGGTATTAGAGCCATACCAAATAAAATGTCCTGAGTTCGAATTTCACAGCCACCAGTTTCAAATATTTCAAGTGCAAGACTTCAAATGTAATCCCCTGCACTTGAGGGGACGTATTGGAAATATTAATATTAAATAATATGAAATAGCTTAAACTTTTGATTGAGATGGTCATTCAACATGTAGTAAGGCAATCACATATTTTTCTCAATTGTTTTCTACTTCACCGTATTACTAGGACGCGGATTTGTTTGATCACATTCTGCAGACAATGCACCATGACAAACTACGAGTTACAAGTTGTTTCTATATATACTTCATGTTGAAATATTATTTAAAAGAAGGGGTCATTAGCAATACACCCCTTCTGCAGATAAAAAATAGTGATATGTCCATATCATAATTCTTCCATTGTGAAAACCCCTAAAATATTTATTTCCAATTTTACCCTTATACTATCCGTTTTTTTTAATAATTATCTAGTATTAACAAAATTCCTATTAACAAGGCAACTAAATCCGGACATTTTTTTAATAAATATCCACTATTTACAAAATTCCTATTAATAAGGCAACTAAATCGGCACTATTTACAAATCCTATTAATGAGGCACCTAAATCCCCCTAATTAGGAATAATTAGTACAATCTATCTCAATTATTCTTTTTCTCTCTCTTTCCATAATAACAATTTAATTCCTAAAAAAATGCTACCAAATCAAAAAAAAAAAAAGAAAAAATTCGGACTTTATTTTTTTTATTTTATATTTTATATTATTTTCGGACTTTATTTAGTCATTTTTTATTTATTTTTATTTTTAATATTTTTTAATAAAAATAATTTTTTTTATTTTTTTTATTTTTTTAAACAAAAAATTGATTTTTTTCTCTCCACAGGTTTGCAACGTCGAATATGACTATAGTTGAATATGACTATATGTGACTATATTAACCGTAGTCATATTCTTTCTTTATATTGTTGTTTTTTATATTTTGAACTTAAAAATTTCGATTATATAGCATAGTCATGTTTACCAACTCATATAAAACAACGAAGATTCCCTATTGTTTACGAAAACAATCCAATCAATATCCACACAAAAAAATCAATTTGAATCTACTTACTAGAAGTCAACTTGAAAACAAGATGCTAGATTATATTAAACAATAGTCATATTCGAATATGACAACAGTCATATTCGAAAAATACATAAATATGACAATAGTCATATTCGAATATGACTATATTCATGTTACTGCTGTTGTTTAGATATGAAAAAAAAATCGAAAAATACAAAAATAAAGATAGAAAAAATAACGAGAGAGAGGGATGGGAGTCGACGACAACGGCGGTGGTGGCGGTGGTGAAGGAAAGAGAGTGAAAGAGGCGGCGACGGTGGTGGTGGTGGCATCTGAAAAAAAAAACTGAGAAAACGAGAAAGATAACGAAAAAGAGAGAAAGAACCTTACGTGGAAACGAAGGAGAAGGTGACGGCAACGAGCGGCGACGGTGGTGGTGGTGTACAAATTTATGTGGAGACGATGGTGGTGTAAAGAGAGAGAAATCGACAGAGACAACGAGCACGAGAAATTAATAAATCACTAATCGATAGTCATATTCGAACCAGACTATAGTCACGTTAATGCTTCTGCTCCAGATCTGAAGAAAAAAAAATCGAAAATAACGAAAGAGAAGGAGGGGGAGGCGACGACAACGACGGTGAATGAAAGAGAGAGTGGGGAACGAACAAGAAATTCACAAATCACTAATCGAGTGAATCAACAATAGTCATAATTATTAACAGAACAGCGAATATGACTATTATGTGTCTGCTCTGTAAATCGAGATAAAATGAAGTCAGATACAACTCGGACGACACAAACCCCATACATTTTGCTCTGAACAAAACAAACGCTCGTAAATTTCGAACCAAACATTATAATCCATAGACTAAATTAAGAAAAAAAATAACAAAAAAAAAAAAAAAAAAACAATTCCATACAATCTCTGATTTTTTCCACGCAATTTTTCTTCAACACCAAGCATAGAGCGCTACAAAGACGACGACTAGGCACCTCGATCTCGCCCAAAAATACTTCCGTATATATAGATATGCCAAAAGACGAAAACAAGAAGAAAAAAAAAAGACGAAGAAGAAGAGAAGAGGAGAGATTGAGAACGTGAGAGAGAGAGAGAGGGGGAGTAAAAGAGTGAAATAAATTATATCACGTTAAAAACCTAATCACATAAGGGCACTTTAGTCTTATCATGTCTAGTTAGGGGGGTTCTCACTAATTAAGAATGAAACTTGGGTGTATGCAAAAGTCTATAATAGTCAATTGGGTTTAGTTCAAAATATTTTCCATTTGAGGGGGTTATTGCATATTTCCCCTTAAAAGAATCCCGGAAAATGGTACAAGATTTCTTCAAAAGAGATTATTTATATAAATGGAAATCTCCCTTTAATGTTGTAACAGTTATCCAAGTGGCTGGCACGCGTGCCGCCATGTGTACATTGGCTGTTTAGCGTGTAAACTATATTGTATCTTGTATTTGTAGGCCCATCAATGCACGAATCTGGTCCATTGAGATAGAGGGAGTCAGATTGCAATTGTTGTAAGGATTCGTTATATGCACCAAAGGCTTTTCATGTATTATTCGTGAGTTGTGATTAATGAAGTTTGGGCATTGCTCGTAAAGTGTTTGTGTTGTTTAATTTTTGCTGCATACATGTGAAGCAAATCGATTTTATTAGAGGAAGAAGAATACACGAATCTATAGCTTTGGGTAGGAATTGGTCCTTGACATCAACATAAAAACTAAAATGGGAATATTATATTTAAGCTTGATATGTCAAAGGCATATGATCACCTTCAATGGAGTGTTTTTATTGAAAGCTTGTCAAACTTTTGGTTTTTCTCATGGA